TTACTATAGTTGTCTTTCTTCCCTTTTCCTTATTGTCCTTCGTCCCTCTATTTTTTCTTTCTCCTTCCTCTTCTTCCTTTATCTCTTTTCATCTTTTATTGGGCTGAAGGTTTATTGAAACAGCCTCTTTATCTCGCTAGGTACGGGTAAGGTCTGCGTACACACTATCCTCCTCAGACCCCACTTGTGAGATTTTACTGGATACGTTATTATTGTTCCCATTTCCTCCCTCAATCCAATCCAAACAAAAGATATCTCCTAAAAAAGGGATTGTTTTCATTTTCATTTTCATTTTACGAGTTTATTAGTAGTACTAGTCTAGTATAGTTATTAAGGTTAGTTAATAGACTAGCAGTGTAGTACTAGATATTTGGGGAGGCGGACGTAGACACACGGTGGACTCGTGTCGAAATGCCTCAAACTTAGTCTTACACGCCATTCTCACAAGCTTCCTTTTCTTCCCTGCAACTCTCTCCTACTATTTATACACACAATTTCTACTTCCCTCCTCTACAGTTTTCTCCACCTCTCTCTATCTGGTAAGTCAAAACTTTCTTTTTCCTTTTTTGTTGAATTTTTTAATTACTGTACGAATATGATCCAACACTGTTGCATCAGCTCAATCTAATTTAGTTCTGTTCTATTTTCTTCTGTTTTTGCCTAATTTTCACTTCAAATTCTTTTGTTTATTTGTTATTTTGCACTTTGTGATATAATTATTGCTATATCTCTTTGATGTTTAGGATTCGACGTAAAATGGCGTGTACGGAAGTATATTCAATTTCAAGTCCAAAAATGGAATATGTTGAAGGACGGTGCTTCAGTTTTATTAATTCGTCGACTAGTCTAAAATTATGGCCTATGATTCGGAGAACGAACTCTCCAATTCGAAGAGAAAGAAAATTAGGTGTGAGTTGTTCATCGCCAAATACTTTGTCTCCATTAGGATCGGAGGAGGATGCAAGTGTTGTACCTAGCAGTCACTTCTTAGAAGATGAGTTTAGCCACGTCACGAAGTTCAAAATGTCCGATTTTAAGATACGGAATCGTGTCAGCATTGACCTTGGTGGCAGGGTAATTAAATTTTCTCTGATTATTCTGTTGGAATAATAAGGGAGTCTTCGTCTTGAAATGAAGATGTAATAGCTATTTGATGTTTAATATTCGCTTGCATTTTGCAATTGTGGCAGGGCGATGAGATAGTGTTTGAAGCTATGGTGAATGATCCTCATAGGTGAGTATTTCCGTGTATTCCCTCCGTTCCAATTTATATCAATCTGTTTGACTGGGAACTGATTTTTAGAAAGAAATGAAACTTTTGAAACTTGTGGTCTTAAATATATTATAACATACTTTTGAAACTCGTTGTGTTTATCATGCTTGCTATAGTATTTGTGTGGCTATACAAGTTTGTCATTAAGGGTAAAATGATAAGTTTAAGTTAAATTGTTTCGAAATTTAGGAATGCGTCCTTCTTGGAACAAATTAAAAAGGAAATAGGGTCACATAACTGGTACATGGAGCATAATTTTCAGCAGAAGACCAAATTAACACAAACTTACTTATCCTGATTTCAACAATACATGCAGTCCATTGTATAAGACCAGAGTTGTACTTAGGCAACTTATTAGTGCTCGAGCAAAGCGGAGAGGACGTCGTGCGATAGAGGTTTGTTGCACCTAGCCATCATTTTTTAACTCATGCATCAGTTCTGGACATGTCCGTGATTTGTCCAATATTAATGATTGCATTTCTGGGTGCTAGGTATTGAAGAGACTGGCACGTCGTAAGCTCATGTATCATTCATACTCGATGCAAGTTCATGGGTATATCTGCTCATCCATGACAGATGAGAACAGTTCATTCACCCTAGTCCTTGGGGTATGCTGATTTTGATGTTAAGCTGATCCTTTATTTTCAAGGGACTATTCTGACTTGATAACATTATTATGATAAGTATAACTAGCTTCGGCGCATAAGTTTCATTTGAGTACTTTTTAGTTGCATGCTTGTTCTCTTAGGTGCTTGAGGAATAACTTAATGCAAGTACTATGGACCTGTTTCAGTGAACATCAGAAGCTTTTTTTCTTTGCATACAGTTAGCAGTAGTAAGTAAACTATCTGTGTTCCTATGTTAGACCTTAAATAGCTGACATCTTTGAGGACCTTGGTTTTGTTCTCTCAGCATCATGGAAGTTCTTCACTGAGACATTGGCTTCAACGATCTGATTGGCTTCCAACTCTAGAAGCTACTCTTTCTCTAGATCAGGAGTCTGTTAGAAGGGTGGGGGATGATACAATAGGAGGGCCAGCTATTTCTCGACAACTGCGACTAATCCGGATCTTAATGAGGGATCTCTTGATTGGAGTACGTGTTATGTGTCTTTCATTCTTATCTGATTAGGTACCAGATAACAAGTTCTCTGTTTGCTGATTGATCCTTGATTCTCTCTCTCAGGTGAACTATGTGCACAGTCATGGTCTTGCACATACAGAGTTGAGGCTTGAAAATTTGCACATCAGTCCAGTGGATAAACATATTAAAGTGAGTGCCCCTTCATCTTACCTGTTGTAGTAGGAATTGGACGGTACCGGTACATTAGGGGACAAAGTACCTGCTGCTAATGTTACAATACTATTCAACATGCTTAACCTTGGTGATAGGCATATAACATAAGACCTTCACCTTCTGTTGTAAAGGACACGTTCAATTACCATGAAGACAGATAGGCTTTACTCTCTGTAGGTTCCAACTTGTCCAGTGGAAGAGATACGTGATGTCAATATTGGGGTTTCAGGCTGTGTGAATCCAACTCTACCCAAACCGGATAGTGTGGGAGCCTCTTGAACTATCAGCAGTTCCACCTAAGAATCAATTAGATAAACCTGGCTAAACTTCCTCAGAAAAGCACGATGTCTTTGGTGAAACTAGAGCTATGAAACATGTCTTAATCATTAGATATAGATACATGCATAATGCATACATTTGACAATGCTTCATCCATATTGCTTAGTTATGCAAAATCCTTTTATGAGTTCATCAAAATGCTACTTTTTGTGGTATTACAAGAGTGCTTTTTTAGATCAGGCTAGTCGCTGGTTTTCCAAAAGGAAGAGCTCCCTACATTTTGTTTTTCTTCCAAAAGGGGCGCTGATGACTACGTTGGTAATTGTGATACTTTTTGCTAATATGGTCCAGTTTGGAATCACTGTGAACCTATCTATGTGTTTTCGGAGTTTAACAACTCAACGATACCTCTTTGGGAAGAAGAGTTTATTTTGATTCGTCTTGATTGTTCAATTGATCATTTCTTATCAGGTAGGTATATTGGGAAATGCTGCTGACTTTAATGAGGCTGATACTGTGGATGGCACATCATATGACAATATGGATAGGAGGAGAATGATGATTGCATTTGACATGAGGTATGACATGCATGCTTAAATATTTATGTTTTTTGTNGTTTTTTTTTGATGACCGAGAAAATATTTATGTTTTTTGTTTAGCATGAAGCAAGTTATTTATGATTTTCTATCTGCTTTTACCTGTTGCAAAGATGTGTTGGATTCATCATGGCAAAAATGGTTTTGAGGGAACTCATGGACCCAACGATCTTTGCCAAGTTCAAAGCATTCCTCACCAAGGTTGTACACTGTTTTTGGATGTTCTGCAAAATACATGCTTTCACATGCAATAACTTAATTCATGTCATCTTCAGGGAAATGATCCCTCCTGTTTGCGCGAGTTTCTTCTACATGCTGTAAAAAGAAAATCTTCAGCTGGAAATTTTGGTATACAAGTTAGTACCTTATCCCTTGTTTATGTTTGACTGTTCCGTTGTTCCGTTGTGATAAATCAATTATGACTAATGAATTCTTTTGTAGACTATGTTTTTATTAACTTCATCTATTTCTTTCCATAAACATAACTATGAAGGTTCTTTTATGCTAGTCAACTACCAAGTAGTGTCACTTATCACATTTCTCAAAAAGGCGGCAAATGGACAGTTATGAAGATAAAGTGGTTCAGTTAATAAATGATTCATGACTCGGCTCGTGCAAAACTTTCATAAATGAGTCATGACTCGGCTCGTGCAAAACTTTCTTAAGTCAAGATGGATTAGTAAGGGGGTCATAGCCCAACAAGATGGAATATAACGTTGTTGTTTGCTCTAAATCAAGAAAATTCATAGAGTTTGAAAATTGAGTTTTGATAGAGTGGATTCAAAGATATTAGAGATGAAGGTGGATGTACATAATATTAATTTTTATCACATATTTCATCGTGCTACGACGAAGCATGAAGATTGTGACACATGGTAAAACATTTACAATGTGTAGCCTTATTTAGGTAATTTACTTGTTAAAGGTGGACGTAATTCAGTTATTTAGGTAATTTTCCTTATTTAATAACTTTCCTTATTAAATGTAGTTTAATCTACTCTAATTTCAATTCAAAACTAGTTCTCTCTCCTATTGCTCCACACTGTTTACTTTCCATTTTTGGTAATATAGTAATATGTTCTTCTTTCAGATACTTGATAGAAACTGGGGTGCAGGTTGGCATTTGCTCTCATTACTCCTTGCACCTAAACCTTTGGACAGGATAAGGTAAACTCAGTCATTATGGTTGTTGATGCCTTTTGGAAACTGCTTACATGCATCAGATATTAATTTTTCTTACAAGCTATGCAGGATTAATGAAAACCAGCTTATTAGATAGCTTATAGCCTAGAGGCTTGAGGAGATTTTTTAGAAGATGAGTTAATTGGTTAACTGAATTTGGAACTCTTCTGATGCGTTTCTGTAGGAGCCCTAGCAACTTAAGTATTTAAAAGGCTTTTGGAGAAACATGTATCATTTTATCAGATCTTCCAAAAATTATTTTTGGGAAGTGATCACGGGGAAGCAGATTTTAATGTTGATGAGCTTCTAGGTAAAGGAGCGAGCTTCTGATCTCTAATGCAGTTATTAGTAAGAATCTTTAGATTAAGTTAAAAGCAAGACCCATGTGTCTAGCATTCAATGAAGTGGGTGAAAAATCTTGGAGACCATGGTTCAATTCCCAGCAAGGACAAAAAAAATGCTAGGTGATTTCCTCCTATCCACCTAAGTTTGGGTGGTGGGCAGAGTTACCCGATACATGTACTGGTGGGAGATAGTAGGTACCTAGTACAATAATCGAGGTGCGAAGCAAGATAGCACGGGCACCATCATTTAAAAGAAAAATTAAAAGCAAGACAGATAAATTACATGCACATTGTTTTAGATACTTCACGGACTGAGCTTTCATAGTGCTGATTGTTGTTACTCAAACATCATGTGTAAATTAAATCGGTCTCATAGATAATCAAGTCAAAGATGACAATGTATGATTACATCATAATTAATGAAGATCTCTACTAATATTTCACAGTTGCTTAAATGCTCTGAGGCATCCCTTCTTGTGTGGACCAAAATGGCGTGTAAGCCCATCTATTGATGTAATCAGATGGAGTCTTGGCTCAACTACTGTTCGAATTGCGGAGGAGTACATTTATGGGCAGCAGCAGGTAATAACTGTTGGCTGATCATGAAAAGTATTTCTTCTTCTTCGGTAGTTATGGTTGATTTGATACTACGAAGTGTTTGAGTATTTCATGTTTCCTATTTCCCCCTCCTAGTTTCCCAACAGTACATTTGATAAACAAACCTCCTTATTTTAGTTGGAAGTTTGAAGGAAAAAAGAGGTAAAAAAGACTTCTCAAGTCTTGTGGAAGAATATAGGACACAAGAAGTTCGAGGGTCAAATTAAAAATAACAAAAGTTGTGGGTAATTTTGAATATCTTATGTGATGTTGAAACATATCCCGTGACGTTTGAAACATCTCCCGGGAGATGTTTCAAATGTCCCGGAGATGTTTCAAACATCCATCGGGGTGGAGGAGGAGGGGACGTTTTTGTAAATAAGAAAACTTTTGGGGTCTTAAAGTGTCCCTTCTACCCCATTCTTAACACTTTTATCTTAAAAATTTATATAAGTTTTGAAGTGTCTTAAAAATTTAAATTTAAAAAGTTTGAATGTGCGTCACTGCTTTTGTCTGTTGTTAAGCTTGCTTGCTTCTTAAGTAGTAGTTCTTATTACTCCAGAAATCTACGGTGGCACAAATAGCTTGCCTCCCCATTTATTTTCAATTTCGAACTTTTCCTTTTCAGAATGGTTGGTTCATCTGACTTTCTTTTCTTGTTTTCCTTCCTCTTTGGCCGAGTATATTTATATATGCTTCTTATGTTTTCACTCGGGAGTTTATAATTATCTTTTTATCTCAATATATTGTCATTGTTTGTCTCTCTAGTCAAGTTGGCCCCTTTCTTTTGCATTTTTGTTTTACCTTATTTTCTAAAAATGCAGAAATAATACTAGCAGAGTACTTAAATGCGTACTAATCTAAGATTCGGTGTTTGTCATCGCGAAAACCACTAAACAAAGAAAAGCATCTCCTAAAAAATATATTAAGAGAGCACCCAATTTGGATAGAGTAAGTAGATCTCTTTGCTTCACTATCTGCACATTAGTCCTTAATGAAAATATGGGTCACAATTCATAGACACCAATTGCTTTTTTATCTGGATAAATGACACCCTTACGTGAGACTTTAAAAAGGAACGCATGGTGTTTATCCCAAAAAGGGGTAAAATGGAAGCAACATATTCTTCTACAAAAAATAAAGACTCATGACTTGCTTGGATGTGTCCTCCCTCAAATTCTTTCAAGTATTATCAAATAATAATTCTACTCAGTTCTTTTTCCGGTGAGTTTAATTCTATTTAGCTCATCGCTACTGTATTTTTTTCATTAATTGTCTGCACCTTGCTGAAATCTGTTAGCAGGATCAGAAACTAAAAGAGTTGCTAATATATTATTTCTCTTCTATTTTTTCCAGCGGAGTAGGCTTGCTCATTTCATTGAATTAATGGAGATGCTAAATCCTTATCCAAAACCAAAGGTTAAGAATCTCTCTTCTTTTATTATGAGTTATTTTTTTAATTCTCTTTGGTTGGTGAAGAGCATCTCTCATCATCTGCTTCTCATTTATAGCACTTTGACAATATTCATTTTACAGTTTCTCCCCTAAATATTCACACATTGTGCATTTCATGCTTGTCTACAATGTTTATTTTACAGTTTCAAGCTTTGTTTATTATATTATAAATGCAGTACTCTGTCTTTGTATATTTGTTGCACTGCGTTTGTTGTTATTTAGGATAAGTAGTGATGCATGCTTGCATTTTTTTCAATTGGGAGGAATTGCCTCAAATGATACATTATGCCTTGAGCAATGTGCTCACCATTTGCAACTGAATGAGTATCTACTGATCTGCAGCATTGGCTGGGAGCGTTTCCTGGAAAGTGGCGTCTGTTATACTGTACTGGTAGACATATAGGATTGACCCTTAGACAGCCTTCTGTTAGAGTACTCATTGGGGAAGTGTACCTAACAATATCTAAAGCATCAACACCTAAAACAACATTTTCAGCTGCCTCACATATAAGCTTCAC